CTAAGGATCTCGGCAGGCAGCTCAGGGAACGTGACTCGGAGATTGAGCGTTTGACTCAGCTTCTTTCGGCTCGTGACGCTGAGTACGCTGTGCTCCAGGGGATCTCGACCAAGCACTTCGAGCAACTGCAGGAGTCGGCTCGGCTACTCATTTCTGGAGACGCCCAGCCTCTCCGTGATGCCAAGGCTACCATCAAACACCAGCGTGAGGCCATCCTCCGGCAGAAGCGTGTCATTTCTCGCATGGGTCTTTTACCCATGCACGATCCTCACATGGCTGCTACAGCTGCAGCCGGGTTGGACGCGCCTGGGTTGAGCCCTGCTGACTTGCAGCTCAATGCTCGGTTATGCCGGATCCTGGCTCAACGTTTCCCGGAGGTGATGGACATCCCGGCTGGAGAGACTCGTCGAGTCGAGTTGACCATCCACCCGCGAGCGGACGGCGCCGCTACTACTCCGCCAGCGCCCGTGAGCTCGGCTGGTTCGTTCCTTGGACAATCAACTCGGCTGACTGAGTCTGAGGCTCCGGCCCCTCCAAGCGAGTCTCCCGCATCATCTGCCGCCAATCCTGTGTCGGCTGGTGCGGTTTCTATGCCCGTGTCCATTTCTGCTTCGCGTCATCGCCGCAGCAAGTCGGTCGACCAGGTTCACCGAGCTCGGCTGGATACTCTGACACCTACCGAAAAATTACTTCGCTCCTCAAACCCGAAGTCAGCGACGGCGGCTGGTTCTCAGCGCAAGCCCAAGAAGCCACTCGAGCAGCCGTACGCGTGTCCACTTCCTGGTGAGGTCGGCCATGAGGACGCGTTGGTCCAGCTTGAAAAGGCTGCCCAAGAGACTGACGCCGCATGCGACCTATCGCTCCGGTCGAGCTTGAACTTAGCCGGGTTGACTGTCGACTATGTGAATGTGGAGGCCGGCGACGAGGTTCACTCGCTGGAAGAGGACCTCTCGTTCGAGTTCACCGAAGTGCCTGGTTCCGCTGAGCTTCCGAGGGGGCCCGCCGGCCCGACCATGAGTGTGCTGTCCGTGCAACTCGTGCCTTACTCTTCCTCCCCGGTGCAGACGCCTTCAAGCGGAGTGGCTGTTGTATCGTTGCCTGGATCTGCTGACCTTGCTGCAACTCCGTCCGCTATTTCGCTTCCTGCCTCGGTTCCGTTCCCGACTCGTGTCCGATGGGTTCCTCCCTCGACCAGCGTGCCGAGCGCGGCTGTGGTGACATCGACTGCCGGCGCCGGAGGACAACCGGGTTCCTCTGCTCCCGATCCGGCGCTTGCTACAACGCATGCTGTGATTGCGCCGAGCTCGACGGCTGGAGTCTCGGCTGCGGGTACAATTAACAGCTCCGCTGCGATTCCGCCTCGGGTTTCGCAGTCTTCTCCGAGTTCGGCCGCTCACCGGCTCTTGGCATGTACTCGTTCCCGGTTTGCCAATCAAGCCCAGAGTCGTCGTGGCCCGCCAGGGGTGGCGTCGACTGTAGTCACTCCAATGCCGAGCACTCCGTCGGTGGCCTCGACCCGGCCAGCGGTTCCTCCAAGCTCAGCTGGGATGACTTCTCCATCGGGTCGCCCTTTACGCTCCACTGCGGCTACTGCCCGAGTGTTGAACGCTCACTGCTTGGATCTGTTAGAGACTCCTGACTATCTCGTCCTCCGGTCCGCTCGGCGTAGCTCTTCCTCTGGTTCGTCGGGCTCGGCTCTTGGATTGAATGCCCCCGGAACCTCAGCACACCCGTTGTCTGTGTCCGAGAGCTCTGAGTCTGAGGCTGACGACCCTGGATCTGCTGACGAGCTTAGTTCGGCCGACCCTGACGCATCTCGCCGGGCTTCGTTAGCTTCTGCGCTCCCACCTCCGCACGGGAAGCTCCAGAGCTACATCGCTGCTCGTCAATCGCCTCTCGTTCCGTCCAGCGAGTCAGGTGACTCAGACTCGCAGCCAAGTTCCAAGAAGCAGAGCGGTAAGGGCAAGCGCAAGCGGAGTCGCAAGCACAAGCACAAGCACGAGCACAAGCACAAACACAAGTCGAAGTCGGCAGGGTCAAAGAAGTCGAAGAGGTCTGCGTCTCCGGACTCGGCTAAGGACCCCCGCCCGTCCAAGCGTCAGCGAGGTTCGACTGGGGACTCGGCCGTCGGTCCGGCTGAGGTTTCTGCCGCTTCCAGCTCGACTACCAACTCGGCTGGGAGCTCTGGCATCCCATCGAGCTCGGCTGTTTCGCCGTCACCTATTTCTGCTGGTCCAGCTTCAACCCTGTCGGTTTCTATCGTAACCGCTCATGACGCTGGCGCCCACGTTCTCCCTCAGTTACCTGCAGCTTTACGCTATTCGCTCGCTCAGCTGCGCACTCGAGCTCGCCAGGCGGTCGGTCGAGACGCTCGGATCACTCCCCAGCTGGCTCAGCTGCGCGACATCCGCTTCGTTCATTACGGGTCTCGGCGGTGCTGGGAGGCTATCCTCAGCCATCAAACGGCCAAGGTCACTGTGGATGACGCGTCGGGGAAGGGCAGCGTGCCGGTTACGCTCTGTTCTCTCGCTGGGATTAAAGCGTTCGCGGACGTCTACCATCCGGATCACCCGGATCAGCGGCTTCTTCGTCTGCTTCCCAAGACTCCCATCTTCTTCTCCCCTCAAGTCCTCAACGACGCCAAGAGCCGGTTGGCGAGCTCGGCGAAGTCGGTGACCTTGATGGAGCGTCTCGCAGAAGTGTTCGTGAAGATCCGCGGGGAGGCTCCGAACTCGGCTTGTGACAAGGAGGGTCCTACCAAGTTCTTCGTAGCACTGTTCGAGCGGTGTCACTGGATGGTCGAGTCGAGTGTGCTGATGGGGCTACATCCGGCTTTTCACACGGGGCTCCCGTATCACGTGATAGCCGAGATGTATGACACGTGGGTGTTGTACAAGTTGGCTCGCAAGCGTCGACGCGATGCTCTCCGAAGCCTCATGACTATCCTGCCGGACGACCTGTTCACTGCAGTGATGAAGCTTCTTGGCGGTCTTGCTGCTCCGGAGGCCGATGCGGAGCTCTTCTTTGAGCCGTCGGTCCCGTTGTATCCGCTGGTCAATCTCGCTTGGATTCCTGCAGGCAGGGACTGGTGTGCGGAAGCCGAGTCTGTGGATGACTCTGAGCCTTGGCGAGCTTGGTGGTTGAGCGACCCAGCGACGCACCCGTACAACACCTGCTTCCGGACGCGTAACTTGGAATTCATGGTTTTCGCTCCCGCTGGTGTGGATCCACGCCTAGTCGAGGATGCTGTCGATGAAGATGTGGACCTCGACGAGCCTGCGCCTCCCCAGATTTCGTCAATTGCTCCGACTCCGGTCAACCGTGCAGGAATCCACATCTTCCAACATTGTGAAGCTGGTGAGCTCGGCTGGGCCGCTGGCGATGCGGATTCGGCGTCTCCGTTGATCGGGTCGCCTAACGCGTGCGGCCCTTCTCCCACGGCTTCCCTCTTTGGTCCGGCGTCGCCTGGGTCTCCAGCTGAGTCGAGCGCAGGATCGAGTGTCCCTCTGGCTAACAACTCTGTTATTCCGGCTTCAAGCTCAGCGGACTCGGCTGTGCAGACTGCGGGAGCAGCGGATAGCTCGGCCGGCTCAGCTACGAACACTGGAGGTTCGATTGGTCTCCTCGCAGCGGCTGCTGCTACCGTCGTGTCATCTGCCGCGCATTCACAGGGTCCTTCGTCTCCGTAACGTGCGGCTCAGCCGCCGAACTCTTCTTCCTTTCCCATCATTCTTCGGTGAATTCATGTAATGTATGCAGTCTTGACGCAGTAGCTTCCTTCGCCTCAACTCAGCCTGCTGTCTTCACTGAGTTGTCGGGTTCATCATTTTGGTGCAATAGCTTTAATCCTCATCTGCAACTTGCATCATTTGCAGACGGTTTTCACGCTTCTTCTGCCGTAAGTAGTCGAACAATAATCCACCACACGACAAATTCGACAGTGGCTCCCAGGTTGGCTCATCATAGCCGACCCACTTGACCTTGAACTTCCACTGAGTTCTGGAGGTGCTCGTAGAGAGCGGCAACTCGTCGTCCAGGATGGCTTCGACTTCGTATTCATTCATTGCTTCGTCGGGCTCCCAGCTATCTTCAGGAAGGAGTTCCTCGTCAAAGTCGAGACGATCCGACTCGGCTAAATCGGCTACTAGCCTAGTTGTCGGTCGCTCGCCGAGTGCCGTGACCGCTTTCAGACGTGACAGGGTAGAAACGGTATCCGCTCTTGTCCGGGAGTTCGAGCTCGTAGGCAAACTCCTCCACCTTCTTCTTCACTCGGAATGGCCCATGCCATCGATGTGCTAACTTCATGGTCAAGCCAGGTCTGACTCGTTTCATGAAAAACCAAACTTGGTCACCTTCCTTGAATAGTGACTTCCCCGACTCGGCTAACTCGTCACCTTCCTCAGTCAACTCGGCTGCTCCCTCGGTTGAGTTCGCTGGGGTATCCGTCCCTTCCTCTCCGGCTGGGACAGCTCTCTGCTCGACTCGGCTGAGTCCGTCATTGTGTTCCTTCGCTCTCCGTTTCTTCTCCTTCAACTGGAACTCGGCTGCAAGCTTTAAAGCCACCTCTCTCTGTCGGTTTGCTTCCCTGCGCCATTCGGCTGCCCCCGTTGAGTCAGCTGAGTTGCCCCTGCCGAGCCTGACTGACTCGGTCATCGCCTTGAGTGTAGACCGAGCGTCCCATCCGTGTACCAGGTAGAACGGGGTCTCCCGCCGAGTCGAGTCTCTCGAATTGTTGATGGCATGGACGAGCTTCTCGGCTACGTCATCCCAGTCGGCTTGGAGAGGGTCTTCCACGTACACACGCACAGTCTGGATCATGGTCTTCACTGAGCGTTCTTGCTGACCGTTGGCTTGTGGTCGGTAACTCAGCGTGGCTCTCGACTTGGACTGCATCATCTCCGAGAACTTCTGGAACACTTCACTCATGAACCGGGAATCTCTGTCGTGGCGTACCAGTGATGGAGCTCCAAACCTCCGGAACACGTTCTCTTCGAAGGCCTTCGCTACCTCAAGTGCCCCAGTCTCGCTCATCGCCTTAGCAATCACGAACCCGGTAAAGTGGTCTTGAAACAGCAAGAGTGCAGTGTTGCCCCGCCGAGTCTTCGGCAGTGGTATGACCAAGTCCATCGATACCACGTGGAACGGTCGCTCAGACACTACGTTGCCAGGTGAATAGCCCTTCAGGTGCGGTTGGCTCTTACTGGTACTGCAGTCTTCGCACGCTTGGACATGTTTGACCACGTCTGCGTACAATCCAATACAGTAGTAGTCGGCTCTGACCCTGTGGTATGTCCGCACAATCCCTTGGTGGCCTCCCTCGATGGAGTTGTGGCAGTTCTGCAGGACCTCGTCTATCATGGTCGTCGGAACCACCAGTCGAAGGGATAAGCCTAGTTCGCCGAGTTCGCCAGGTGGTCTGGCCTTGCCTTGTCGGTACAATAGCCCGTCTTCGCTGAGCACAAACTCGTCGGCAACTTTCCCAGCGTTGTGAGCTCGGCGATGTGTGAGCTGCGCATAATCCCCTCTCAGGTAGGTCTTCAAGTCGGCCCATCGTTGTTCCTCGTCTTGAGCTCTTGCTATTCGCAGGCGGCGCTCAGCTTGGACCACTACCGGATCGATGTCCATGGCGTTGGGCTCCCAGGCTTCTCTGAGCTCGGCTACCAGCTCAGCTGAGTTCGCTGGTGGTGCTGCGCTACCGAACTCGGCTTCTCCCGTCACCCGCTGTCTAGCAGGCGGAGGTCGGCTATCTCGTTCAAAGTCATTACGTTCGGCTTCCTCATTCGTAGCTGGGTTCGAGACTGGGTGTTCTGTCGCTTCGTCTTCGAAACGGAATCGGCGGACTTGACTCCTTGTCACGGCAGCCATCTCAACACCCTCGGCCGGGGTTGCAGCCGAGTCCGTGTCCACGTACAGGACCTCAGAGATCCTGTTCTGGGTCTTCAACTCGGCTTTCCGTCCGGTACCTTTCCTGCCTTGGTTTCCAGTGCTTCGGTCGCTAGGGAGTCAGCAGCCGAGTTGTAGAGACGCACTACGTGGAGGTAGCGAACTGAATTCAGCTTGCTGACCAATTTCTTGTGGCGTGCTAACTCGACTTGCAATGCCTCCTTCTTACACGCGATCACCCCCATGGATTGCTGGTTCGCAAGCCGAGAATCGCCCACGATAATTAAGTCCTTCACCCCACGCTCAATAGCCGAGGTCACGCCATTGTTCATGCCGGTGTACTCGACTGGTCGATGGGAGGTGCGCGCTCGCAACGATCTCAATGCTCCAGTCTGGTAACGCCACAGGATCCAAGAACAACTCCCAAACCCGCCGTGTTTAGCGGTCTTCGCCGATCCGTCGAACGAAAGTACGTGCCCCTTGAAGTCTCGGGGCACATGCGCATGCAGCAACTCTGGGTCCATGCGGACCACAGCCGAGTTCTTGGACGGCGGGGCGACAGCCGTTAGTAGCTCGTCCAATCCCACTGCCGGTGTGATGGACGCTTGGAGCAACTGGGCGAAATCCGTGTCCCGTTCGCGGACCCGCTTGACCTTTAGGTGGAACGGTGATAGCAGTACCGCAAAGCTGACTGCTCTGCCGTAGAGAAACTTCGACTGGGACACCCATTCGAGAGTCGAGTAGCGGGTGTAAACATGGATGGTCTTCCCGGCGAGCAACGTGTGGCACACCTTGATGAGCTGTAGCAAGGCGAGAACTTCTTTCTCGGCGGGATGGTTGCCGAGTTCATTATCCTTGAGGACTCGGCCGCAGAACCGCACTGGGTGGAGCTTCCCGTCGTGGAGCTGCATCAGCGTGCTACTCAGAGCCCACTCATTGGCGAATAGCATAACGTGGACGTCCTCAGCCGAGTTGAAGTGGCGGAGTATGGGCGCGTCGACCACTTTCTGCTTTAACTCGGCGAACGCTGCTTTAGCAGCCGTCAGGTCACCGCCGGGTCCAAAGTCTTCGTCCTTCAGCTGATAGAGGACTGCCCCAAATACGGCCAAGTTCTGGATGAACCGGCCATAGTAGTTGAGTGCTACTAAGAACGCCTGCAACCCCTTCTTCGTCGTCGGGAATGGCAACCCAGCTATTGCCAGTATCTTTTTCTGGTCGACTTGGATTCCAGCCGAGGTCACCCCATGTGATAGGAAGTCGACTTTAGGCTGGACGAAGATGCTTTTCGGGAAGCTGACACTGATGCGGCATTCAGTGAAGCGTTGCAGCAATCGGTCAAGCGTCCCCAAGCAATCGTCGAACGTCCTCCCACCGAAGCAGATATAGTCCACAAACGTTCGCCGGTCGAAAACCGGTGCAAGGCACGATTCATCAGGTTCACCCGTCCGGAACATGTCGGCTTCTGGGCTGTTAATGAATTCCTCCAATGGGCCAAACTCGGCTTGAGCTCGGTGGTCAGCCTCAAACTTGGTCTGGCCACTGGCCTCAAAGTCGAAGTCGGCTGTGAGACGTTTCCGCTGAGCTTCTGAGGCGGCTTCCGCTTGTTGGATACGCTTGGCGAACACCTTCCAGCCGCCCTTGGGTTGTACGTAACCCCATAGAGCGTTGTCAATAAGGCGCTGGTAGATCATTGGGGCATTCTTTAATCCGAAGGGCATCCGCAGCCACTCAAAGTGGCCAAGCGCACAAACAAAAGCCGGGATCCAACGCGCACGCCGAGTCATCATGACCGCCCAGAACCGCTGGCAGTATCCAAAGAGCAGAACCATAGGTACGCTTCCAACTCCGTGAGGAGATCGTCCACTAGCGGCATGGCGTACTCCATGAGCAACGTAATCGCGTTTACCAGCTTGTAGACGATACACAACCGACATTCTTCTTTAGGCCAATCACGATGGGCGATGCCCATGGGCTGTTCGAGAAGGCGATTAGCCGTGCTCGTAACAGCGCCTTGAGCAGCTCGTACAACTTGCCGAGATGCTTCAGCGGAACTCGGCGGGCTCGTTGGCGGATTGGCGGATGCCCCTGTACGTCGATGTCGCACACTACGCCGTATGCTGGTGGAGGTAGGGCATTACCACTGGAGATCATGATCTTTTCATGGCTCTTCAATACTTCCACCAGCCGAGTAGACTGTGGCCGAGTGTGCGCCGAGCTCCGAACGTTTGGCTCTTCATAGTCGAGTGGCGTCGACACCGCTTCAGTCAGATCGGGCAGGAACGCCAACTCGCGAGCATAGTCTTCGAGCTCCAAGTTCGTTGCTTGGTGCTCGAACTCGGCTGAGTCTCCCGCCGAGTCGCCTCGACCATCTGTTTCTTCCTCGTACTTGGCTGCCAGAAGGTAACGTAAGCGCAGGTCTTCCTCCGGGTCTGACGACATGGCTCGTCGCTCACATCGACCTCATCTTCGAGCCTTGGACTCGGCGGCTTGGGCCCGGGGTCATCGATGATCGTCCAGTCAGACAAATCGCTTGGTGGCTCGCCTTCGTACTCGCTCGCAGCACATGTGTATTGGCCGGGCGCTTCGTGACCAGCCGTTACCGTGATAACCGTTCAGCAACGAATGCATTCATTTTAGTTTCACAAGCTCCGAATTAGTGTGGCCTTTTCAAATTCCTGAAGTGCACCACTACAGATCACAACGAACAAACACACAATACCATTAGCCAGCAACACACGGGAGATGCAACAAATCGAACATTCGTACCTTCTTGGATTCTTCAAAGCTGAGCTTGTTGTCACCGTTTAGGTCGGCCTCCTTGAAGCACTGTTCTACTGTGGCGCGAGCAAGCTCTTCCGGTGAGACGCCCATCTTGGTCTTCGTGCTGTCCGTCGTCTCGTACATCACTTTGAAGATTGACGTCATGTAGATGATCATCACTTCTTGTGTGATCGCCGGCCAGCCGGGTTCGATCCCCGCCTCCGCCTCCTGGGTCATCGCTCGTTTTCAGCGCCGCTATCGGCCTTGATCCGTGCTAGCTTGTGGCTATGGGTGGTCTGTGGGTGACGGTGGTGTGCCTGGAGCCTGCCACGCACGACTGGCCGCACTGCCAGCAAAGCCGCACGTGAGCCTTGGCAGCGGCCGCTCCGGCTTCGACCACGAGTCTTTGGAACTCGAACATAATAGCGGTTGCTGCGAAGAGGCAACAGGGCATCGGGGAGCGCGTGGAGACGCGTGTGCGGTAGGTGCGCGGCGCAGCAAAAACGGGGGCGTGGTGGTGCCGGTAGGATGGGTGCAAAACGAGGTCCTACCGGCTGTAGGTTCCGTGCTCAACATTACTTCCTTAGGCGCTGGGGTAGCGGTAGCCGAGTTCACCGGCTCAGTCTGAGTCAAGGGTGGACTGTCGACGGCCTCTGACTCGGCTCGCTCCTTCGACTCGGCCAACTTCTCCCATTACTGGGCGCAAGTCAGCGTCGAGTCCCGCTTCTTGGTAGACGGCCACGTAGCCACCCCTCTCGGTTCAGGGTAGTTTCTACGGTCCACGGCCGACGGCTGTCGAGCCAGCCACTCGACGTGCAGCTGATGTTCCTTTTGCAGCAGATCCTTATCCATAGCCGCTTCGTAGGCCATGACTTGCCAATCTTTGTACTTCGCCGAGTGCAGCCTGACATAACCATCGGGCGGTAACACCCCATGCGGCGCCCAGGCAACCACTGGGAAATGTGCTGGGCACCACGTCCAAGTCGGCTTAAGGTTGGTCAGGCGAACTCGAACCACTCGGTTCCGCCGGTCGAGTACCACGGTCGGTACCCAGTCTTTAGTCCGGCGTACCCAGAAGTCATGTGTTTCATCACTCGGTTGATTCCTCATCAGCCTGAACTCGGTGGGAACTCGGCTCTCGAGGTTCACCGGTTCGGTCGGGCCGTCTGTGATGTAGTGGCCGCCCTTCGGTTCATCCGCTGAGTTCTGGGACTTCACGAGAGGTAGGACAACTTCATCTGGTAACTTCACCACCGAGTTGTACAGATCCAGGCGGATCCCAGCCGGAATCATGAAGTCCGTACCGAGAATCAACTCGACTCCCGCGTGGTGATCGAGGATCCATACTTCAAATTCATACGTGACCTCCCAGCCGAGTGTCACCTTCATCATCGCTCGTGACATCGTCGCCACTTTGCCTTTCCCAATACCTTGAACGCCAATCTGTTGACCCTGGCGTGTGAACCGCTTCAACCGCAGTCGCTTCGCGAATCCTTCGCTTACTGCCGACACATTCGCGCCGGTGTCGAGCAATATCTTCGTACGCTGGTCGTTCACTGCTCCCATAACGAGAGATCTCATCCGAACTCGGCGGTCAAACTTTTGTGACGACCACCAGTCGAGTCGCTCCCCAGGGAGCAGCTTCATAACTATGGTGGCTGTGACCACCTCCGTCGATCGCTGAGTCACAACTGCACTGCACAATCTTGCTCGGCTTTCTTCTCCACTCTCGCCGAGCTCACAATCAAGTCCATCGCTATCAGAATCCAATGCTTCGTCCTCTACTTGGTCCTTGGGCCTTCCTGCCTCACCCACAAAGGCAAACACAAAGTTCGCCTCTACTGCCGGCTCGGCTGACTGTGGCAGCCCGGTATCGCCCAACCCAGTCAGTGTTGGCGGGCCGCCGAGTTCAAATCACTCGGCGTGTAGAGGTCCTGGAGGTCTTCAGGTAACTCGGACTTGGCAACATTGGACTTGACAAATGCGGTGAGCTTCTCGTAGCGCTGGAACAGCTCGCATTGACCGACATCGTGCAATTGCTTGCAGAACTTGCAGCGACGGCGGTAGTAGTGGACGGAGTGGTTCGCACCGCCGCAGGCAGCACAAGGTCCATACGATGGGCGTTCACGGGGGTCACTGCGCCGCCCAGTCTGGTCACGCCGATCGTATCCTCGACTGGCGCGGTCAGCCGAGCTCGGCTGACCCCTTCGGTGATCACTCCTTGCTGTCCCAGCTGAGTTCCCTCGGTCCCCCGATCTACGGTCGCGGTCGCTGGTGAACCCGGTGTCGATGTAATCGTCTTCCGAGTCTACAGTCGAGTCGGAGTAGCTCAGCTGGCTGCCGTCGCTCCGATCGCTGTCCGAGTCGTAGAGGTTGGATCGCCGATTGGATTGGCGTCTCTCGGCCAGCTCGTACGGGTCGTCCTCCAGCAGCGCTGTCGCTAGTCGGCGTTATCGACCATCGTCGCGTCGGCTTCGTCGGTCATCTCGGCGGTCATCTCTACGTCGTTCCCGGCGGTCGTCTCGCCGGTCGTCTCGGCGCGGCTCACTCCGCCGAGCTTCTGAGTGCCTTGGCGAATCGGTGCGCTTGGCGTCTCGGCTGCGGCTTTCGACGAAACGGTCGCGCTGTTTCTTCCGGCGCTCCCCCAGGATCTTCTGGTTGATGATCTTCTCGGCCTTCTTGATGTCGGCGAGCTGTTGCGGATAGAGCAGATCCATGACGTCATCATCCCCGCAGTGCAACAGGAAGTGTTCCACGTGGTCAACAGCGTCCGCTCCACCGGCTTCGTACTGGATTTTCGCCGACTTCGCATATCCGTTGAGACGAATGAGGAAGTCACACACCAGCTCGTTGTCTTTGCGCTGAGCCGAGTAATAGCGAGCTCGTGCCGACTCGTCAAACTGCGAACAGTAGTAGTCGGCGAATGCCTCACTCAGCAGACTCCACTTCCGTTGCGTTTTCTTCGGGAGCTGGCGATACCAGCTCTTCGCGCCTCGCTCCAGCTTCAGCGAGAATGGCTCGTACCAGAGGTCTTGCGCCAGCCGAGTTCCTTTCATCTCGTAGATGAATCGCTTCAGCCACTGGAGAGAGTCATCCGGTCGGTAACGTTTGCCTTCGAACATAGGAATCTTGTCGAGGGACGCATGGGTGCGAACCTCCAAGTACTGCGTCCGATCGCTTTCAGTGTCATCGAAGCTAAGGTGCTTGATGACGTCCTTCACCGACTCGTCAGCCGAGTTCTGATACTCGCGTCCATCGTCGCTGTCGCTGAGCTCGGCTGCATCTGCAGCGTCAAACAACTCAGCGTAGCGTCCACTCGGCTGCTTGCCACGCGTTGGCGTCTTCATATGCGAATCTTCAAAATACGGCGTACCCTCAGTCGAGCGGAACACCTCGGCTCTCTTGCGTTCGGGAGTCTTCGGCAGGGGAATCCTGCTGGGGTGTTCGACGGTCTTCGGAGTCGTTTCGCAATAGTCTGCCGAGTTCCGACAGCCCTCGCTCGAGGCCAAACGAGGCTCTCAACCGGCGCTTCCACTTGAGGATTTCGCGTGAAGCTCGACTGGGGTCCCAATCGCCGAGTAGCAGGCTGTTGGGTCGGCTCGTGCACCGGAACCCCATCGCCTTGAGTAGCAACACCGTGTCTTCGACCAGTTGGTTGATGTCGGTACTGTTCACCGGCTGAGTCAGCTCAGGCCCCAGTACCGGCCATCTCGCCTGAGCCATCGCCACTGGAGCAAACATCATCATCCACTCGCTATGAGATCGCATCTCCTCTCCGAGCCTGCCCAGACTGAGATTATGCGGGCGAGGCTTGGTAGTCGAGTGTTGGTTAGGAAGAAAATCCGAAAGTGAATTAGAATGAGTTAAGCAAAACTGCTTCTAGGAGTCTGTCCTACCGTGTCTTACCAACGAGTACACGAAGTCCTAGCTTCTAACTCCAACATGTTTTGTCGAGGCTGCGAAAACTAAATGTCGATTGTGGTTGCAGATCCCATGCAAACGGCAACTTCAACTTGACCTTCTCTCAGCCGATCAGAATCACCAAATCCGGGGAACCAGCCAATCACATTGTAGCATACAGTACAACCGTACGCCTTGGCAACAACTCCACAGCCGCACGCGCCTCGATACGGAGTCACACAACTAGACTGCGAAGTGTCCAATCGCAACACCCAGAACCTTGTTCGCACTTGGCATATCCGCATTCCTCGTCGCTCGCAAGATCAGGGGCGGACGTTCCCCTTGAGCGGCGGCTTGATCTTCGTCGTCCGTATCATTGCCGAGCTGGACCGCCAGGTTGCGCACAACTGGACGTGGGGTACCCATCCGTCAGACTTGCAGCGACAACTCGTCGACTTCGCCGAGTAGCTCGGCTTTCTCCTCATACTCATCTTCAACATCTTCCCCACTTCCTTCGTCTTGGGCATCCTCCTCATCGAACTGGACGGTGCGCGCCTCGTCCGCCGTCGCGTCCGTGATCATCGCATTCGCCGAGTCCGCCGACGGCCGAGTTACTTCCAACCGTCGCTGGACTCGGCGTAACAATTCCCTTGACCATTTTCACACTCTCTTCTCTTCTCTTCTTCTCAAACCTTGGTTAGCTGGTACCTACGAAACACAAGCACACCCCTGTTATGGGTTGGGGGACCAGTTGTGGTATAGCAGCACGCACAAAATCGTCAGTTGTGGTAACTTGGCTACAAACACAACAATAGCCGAGCTGGTCGGCTTTGTCGGCCTGCGCCGGGTTGCCCCCGAGCGGTTCGGCCCAATCGGGACAGCGGGTGTCTCGCCTCTCGCCGAGACCTGCCAACCAAGATCACTCCTCCGGAGATCCGCCGAGTTCGACGGCCTCTGTTCACTTAACCCTGTGCCCTCCACCAAAGGATGGACGACGGCGCACGGAGCGCTTTTACAGGTCGCCGAGAGCAAAGACTTCTCGACTCAGCAATCAGCGCCCGGGACGTACGGGAACACCGGCTCGCAGCGGTGGCGAGACTTTTCCTTCGCGCTTGGCGAGACACGCACCCAACCCGGGCCGACCTTAATCTCTTGGCGCTGCCAGCCGAGTACCCTACAAGCTATGCCTCTCGGGTACCGGCAGCAAACATAATCCGGCCCCGTGCAGGGACTTACCGGAACGTGTACACGTGTTGTGGACCTAGAAAATTCTGCTCTGTTGTTTGTTATCTCTGTCGGGCGCCCTGAAGGGGCGCCTCCACTATTCCTAAGTTCCTATACAAATACCAAATGAAAGTGGGCGGTTTTGGATCTCGGCCGACTCTTCGCTGAGCTCGGTGACGCTTGAGCTCGGCTGGTCCGGATGAACTATCCGGATAATTCTTCGAACTCGGCTGAGCCGGATAAGGTGTCCGGATAAGCTGGTGAACTCGGCTGAGCTCGGCTACCGGTACAGTGTACCACTCCAGCCGAGTTGGTCGCGCGAAATCTGGTGTTTCCTACACCACATAAGTCAGCGATCGGGCGTGGATCGCCGATCGCCGATCGAGCGTGGATCGCCGATCGCCGATCGGGGTCGATCGTGGGTCGACCAGGATGGGACGCACATGGAGGACGAAGTCGGGGCAAGAATCCAGTAATCGTGGGGTTGTAGGAGGGTAAGGAAGATGGTAGCAGTAGGGAGAGACCAGCTAAACATAAATCAGAGCAGAATTTGCACCGAAGAGCACAAGTCCCCTCAAGTCACCAAGCCCCAGGAACTACATTGGCCTCGGCAGTGTCGACACTTTGGGTAGTGAACTAGCGGTACGGTTAATACTGGATTAATACATTGGCCAGCTTGACCTACTCTAGTGATCTATCTCTTGTGTGCAAGTCCTCGATCGACCGGATATTAGTGCTTGGCCGGCGATCGTTTCTCCTCTCGATCAACCTCGATCCCGCTATAGGAAGCGGCAAGCAACTCAGGAAAGGAAGGAACATACCCGGAAAGGCAACTACAGGCCTTGGATCAACTCCAGGCCGACCGATCGCAGCGAACAACCCTCGATCGGAGCGTATACTCGGACGCAGAGCGAAGACTACCGCGCTGCTCCACAAACTATCCCCGCATCACGCCAAGACACTCGATCTTCACCAAGTGCTGCATCTTCGGAGCCCCGAGAGAGCGGATCCAGCCCGCCGACGGGTACACAAGGTGAGAACAAGTTCAGCCGATCACGGATCGTTGGGGAACCCCCTCCGTTAGTCGGTGTCTGGGCGCTGGTGGGAAGCTCGATCAGGCCTTAACCAGATTTTGGCCGATCCCGCTACACCACAGCACCAAGAATGCGGCCGGGCGCCGCGTGCACACCAACATGACGCCAAAGACGCCGGGTTGGCGGGCGGTGCCTTGGTCAGCTGCTAGCTGCTGCTCGGGTCACGAGCGGAGGCTTCAAGCTGTTGCTCCGGTTGCGAGCGTTGGCCTACAGCTTGGAGGACCAAGACGTAATCCTTAGGTCATAACAAAACCGAACAACAACGTCGCGATACGACGCTGCGATGGTCAAAAGATCAGACCCATCCTTTGCAAAAGATCCGTCCAAAAAATCGCTACTTTGAAACCCCCTAATAGTTGTATTGCGGAAACCGATTAGATTGTCCGAGCGGATTAGCTGATAAAGCAGCGTTCATGAGAGATTTGACTGGTACTAAATCGGGGATCCTTATAATTGCATATGTCATTGGTAAGGGTATAAATCAGTGTAGCGTTAATAAAATAGGGATTGCCTCATTACCCGCCAGCAATACGCGGAACGACCACTTACCACCACGAGCTGACTGTTTCGCGCTCCTACTGACGAGCAATAGCATCGCGTGCATTAAATACTTCTCTGTGAGCAGTCGACGTGTACTGCTATCTATTTATCAAGTTGTGAAGCCATATATTTGCGCTGTCATTTCTCGTCAGCATTAGCGTTTGTCGGTTTTACATTAAATCCGCCGCCGAATGCCGAGTGGGTGTCGGACACTTGGGCTGATTAGCATGCAAATCAGTCGTCCTGAGCTAAATCAGCTTGCCACATGGCGTTGTAGGCACAACAGACTGCTCTGTCAAATCAGAGTGCAAATCTTAGGCTGTCGATATAATTAGGAGGTCGGTTTTAGTAAATCCGACCCGATTAAGCTTAATCATCTGCTTAACCAACCGATTTATATTCTAATTAAACAATCTAATCGGTTTCCACAATAATAGTTACAGAGTTAAACCAGCACCTTATTTCGAAAAAATAAGGATGCCGATCCAGCTCACGCGAAATCTTCACCATGGTAAGGAGCTGCAAACGTAAGTTTAGGCTCACTGGTAATGGCGCGAACAGTGTGCTTCAAATTAGTTCGTGACACAAATTCCATCAAGGCGACCGGACTATGCTCTGCTTCAACTTGATCGTAGCCCAAATGCAGTTGCAATGCAACCGGGGTACGATACCGCTATAAACGGCAAGCAGCTCCAAGAATCTAGCCACTGATGGCACCAAACACGCTGTCAAAGCGAAGATCCAACAATTCTGCGTGCTGTTAGATACTTCTGGTGAAGGAAACACCAAATTTCGCGCGGCTGGAGTGGTACACTGTACCGGTAGCCGAGCTCAGCCGAGTTCACCAGCTTATCCGGACACCTTATCCGGCTCAGCCGAGTTCGAAGAATTATCCGGATAGTTCATCCGGACCAGCCGAGCTCAAGCGTCACCGAGCTCAGCGAAGAGTCGGCCGAGATCCAAAACCGCCCACTTTCATTTGGTATTTGTATAGGAACTTAGGAATAGTGGAGGCGCCCCTTCAGGGCGCCCGACAGAGATAACAAACAACAGAGCAGAATTTTCTAGGTCCACAACACGTGTACACGTTCCGGTAAGTCCCTGCACGGGGCCGGATTATGTCTGCTGCCGGTACCCGAGAGGCATAGCTTGTAGGGTACTCGGCTGGCAGCGCCAAGAGATTAAGGTCGGCCCGGGTTGGGTGCGTGTCTCGCCAAGCGCGAAGGAAAAGTCTCGCCACCGCTGCGAGCCGGTGTTCCCGTACGTCCCGGGCGCTGATTACTGAGTCGAGAAGTCTTTGCTCTCGGCGACCTGTAAAAGCGCTCCGTGCGCCGTCGTCCATCCTTTGGTGGAGGGCACAGGGTTAAGTGAACAGAGGCCGTCGAACTCGGCGGATCTCCGGAGGAGTGATCTTGGTTGGCAGGTCTCGGCGAGAGGCGAGACACCCGCTGTCCCGATTGGGCCGAACCGCTCGGGGGCAACCCGGCGCAGGCCGACAAAGCCGACCAGCTCGGCTATTGTTGTGTTTGTAGCCAAGTTACCACAACTGACGATTTTGTGCGTGCTGCTATACCACAACTGGTCCCCCAACCCATAACAGGGGTGTGCTTGTGTTTCGTAGGTACCAGCTAACCAAGGTTTGAGAAGAAGAGAAGAGAAGAGAGTGTGAAAATGGTCAAGGGAATTGTTACGCCGAGTCCAGCGACGGTTGGAAGTAACTCGGCCGTCGGCGGACTCGGCGAATGCGATGATCACGGACGCGACGGCGGACGAGGCGCGCACCGTCCAGTTCGATGAGGAGGATGCCCAAGACGAAGGAAGTGGGGAAGATGTTGAAGATGAGTATGAGGAGAAAGCCGAGCTACTCGGCGAAGTCGACGAGTTGTCGCTGCAAGTCTGACGGATGGGTACCCCACGTCCAGTTGTGCGCAACCTGGCGGTCCAGCTCGGCAATGATACGGACGACGAAGATCAAGCCGCCGCTCAAGGGGAACGTCCGCCCCTGATCTTGCGAGCGACGAGGAATGCGGATATACCAAGTGCGAACAAGGTTCTGGGTGTTGCGATTGGACACTTCGCAGTCTAGTTGTGTGACTCCGTATCGAGGCGCGTGCGGCTGTGGAGTTGTTGCCAAGGCGTACAGTTGTACTGTATGCTACAATGTGATTGGCTGGTTCCCCGGATTTGGTGATTCTGATCGGCTGAGAGAAGGTCAAGTTGAAGTTGCCGTTTGCATGGGATCTGCAACCA